TTTGCTCATGTCTCGATATCAAACTGCTGTCTAAAGCAGGGGGCTTAAATAGCTTTTCTTCTTCCTGGTTGGCTGGCAACCTTATAATAACAATAGCAATAAAATCTGAGAACAGTTGTTAATATCTGAAAAAGAAATGTGTCTGGGCTGCCTGGAAGCCGCATTGCTTGGAGGAGAAAGTTTTGCACCCTAATCCCTGAAATGTGCCGCTCCCTAGAAAAGCATATTATGGCCTTTGTCAGCCTGGTGCCTTCCAGATGTTTTGGACTACAACTCCCATCAGCCCCAGCTGATGGGAGTTGTAGTCCAAAACATCTGGAAGGCATCAGGTTGACAAAGTGGCGTACTGGATGCTCTCAAGCAGCCCCTGTTGTTATACTCCCATCACATGTTCCAGGGTTGATTGATAGTGCTCAGAAAGGAATATTTATCAGGAAGCCACACTGATGGATCTTAGTTATAAACCAGCAGTGTCTTCTCCTCCCCCCAGCCAAGTCCCCCGCTTGGTGCCTAGAGATTTCCCTGCTTGAGAGGTGGGGGGTGGGTTGGTTTTTTTGAAGCTCCTCCAGAATAAAGTTGGTTGATCAGTGACCGGGGACAAACATTGCACAAGGCCTAAGCAAACTGTCCTTGTCTGCCCAAACTCTGCCTGCTCATCACTTTGCATCCTTGAATAAACAGCCCTTTGGACTTGCAGCCTACCAGGCCTTGCCCATTGCTGGGGGAGGCGCTTCAAAGAAAGGTCCAGCCCGGGCCTGGGATGGAGACATCACCCGGGCATAGACTGGCCGGGTGTGGCGGGTTGGGTGGAAAGGCCTTGTTCCACTACTTCTGGAGCAGTCAGTGCGTTCACACAACTACTTTCCATGCTGTGTATACAGTGGGCGCTCGGGTTGCAAACGTGATCTGTGCGGGAAGCATGTTCGCAACCCGCAGCGGCGCATCTGCGCATGCGTGGGTTGTGATTCAGTGCCTCTGCGCAAAGCACAGTTTAGTACTTCTGCGCATGCGCAACCCCCGAAACCCAGAAGTAACCCGTTCCGATACTTCCAGGTTTTGGCGGGTCCGTAACCTGAAAAAACACAACCGGAAGCATCTGTAACCTGAGGTATGACTGTACACACAGAGAGAAAAGTTATGCCCAACCTGCATCTTTGTGGAATTTTTCCAGGGGGGATCCTGTGTTGTATTCAGGCATAGTTAACACTTTGCTGCTGCGGATAGAATCATGGAATCATAGAGTTACAAGGGACCTCAAGGGTCAACTAGTTCAAACTCATGTACAGTGGTACCTTGGGTTACATACACTTCAGGTTACATACGCTTCAGGTTACAGACTCCGCTAACCCAGAAATAATACCTCGGGTTAAGAACTTTGCTTCAGGATGAGAACAGAGATCGTGCTCCGGTGGCACGGCGGCAGCAGGAGGCCCCATTAGCTAAAGTGGTGCTTCAGGTTAAGAACAGTTTCAGGTTAAGAACGGACCTCTGGAACGAATTAAGTACTTAACCTGAGGTACCACTGTACTGCCTCTCATGCTCTACCGACTGAGATATCCACCAGGGCAAAAGCCCAATTCCTCATTCAGAATCATCCCACTGGACTTAATAGTAATAATAATAATAATTTATTATTTATACCACGCCCATCTGGCTGGGTTTCCCCAGCCACTCTGGACTGCTTCCATCTTATCTCAACACCAAGGCAGCCATGTTCAGTGAGGCCTCCCCCTCCTAGAAAAGTGCCCATCAGAGCCAATGCCTTCGCTGTTCCATCTGAAATCACTACAAATTGTTGTGGACCAGCCCACAAGCGAGGTCCCAATTAAAGAAGAACGGCAACTTAAACTGATGGAATATGTGCAGCTTGCAGACCTAAAATATAGAATAAGAGAACAAGAAAAACATATGTTTAAAGAAGATTGGAAAACGTTTATTGAATATATGAGGGGGAATTGTGTACACTTGAAAACATTGGCAGCATTAAGATAAATTCAGCAGTGTAAATAAGTTTTTGTGGATGTAATAATGGAATACTGAATGGTTTAGTTTGTGTAAAATATGGCAGGGGTTTATGTCATGTAAAACGAACCATGGAAAGAGAAGAATGGAAGTCATTGATATTTTAAGGTTATTTAAATGAATACTCTAAATTTATAAAACAGAAAACTTAAACACACACACACATGTTTGTGTGAAGTTTGTTGTGGACTGAAGGGAGGAAGAGAGGCGTGCAGGCGAGGGCAACCTCAGGGCCTGCTCTTGTGAGGCCATGTTCCCATCGTCGCTCACAAGGCATTAGTCACGACGCATGACAATCCTGTAGTTTCTTGACAAATCCTGTTGTTCAATGTGGGCTTTCCCCTCAAACCAGCTTCAATCCCATTAGAAAACTGGAAGCAGTAATGTGAACATACCCAACCCCCCTCAACTATCCTGCAAAAACTGTGACATTCCGTTTTTTTTTCCTAGCGAGAACATGGCGGCCATTTTGGGCACACCATAGTTCCCTCTTCCCTGTGGCCATAATCTGGGGGGGGGGGACCATGACATGAGAGATCACAGCGCCCAAAATGACCACTGTGCTCTCAGGAGAAACAAATGGAAAGATGGCATCCCAGAATATAGTGTTCCAGTTTTTCCCTTTGACGCGTTTTCCCTCAAATGACGTGAGTTTCTCCCTCTGGTGAAAATTTTTGTCCATGCTGAGCATTTGCTACCCAAAGAAGGGCGACTTTGTCACCAATGAAAAACAGCACACACGTTCTCCACCATCGTGAGAAAACCCCTTAATCCCGTTTTTTATTTTAATTTATTCTTTGGCAGATTTACAAAAAGAGAAACACACACCAATAAATAAATTTAAGAAAGGGGCGGAATTAGATGCAGATGCACAAAGCATCTTTTTTTACTGTTCAATTTTTTTTATGAATTTTCCAAATTTATAACCAATACAACACAACACAAAAAAGAAAACATATAAAAAGAAAAACAAACATATAGAATCTGTGATCATAAAGAGGAGAAATATCAAGAAGATTGGAAGAAATTTAAGGAATATCTAGCTAAATATTATAATTTAAGTGGAAATACTTGCAAGTATCAAAATGGTTTAGGATTAAAGTATGTTGAATTGAATAATACTATGGATTGAGATTATGATGAAAAGAAAGGAAGTTAATAATTTGAACTACTAGTTAATTATATTAGAAAGTGAATATTGGAAAATTGCTAAATGAGATTTAATGAAAATCAGATAGGAAGGATTCGAGGAAGTCACTTAATAATGGAAATTAATTTGGATTTTTGATCACAAAGCATCTTTTTTTAAAAAAAAACACACACACCAAGACTCCTTGTGCTCCACTCCCCCTTTCTTCCCACCCAGGGCAGCCCTGCCCTCTGCCTGCCCCTCAGGGCCGGTGCAACAACACAGGGCTGGGCCTCAGGGGTGGCAGCCTCTCCTGCTCTGCTCTCCAGCAGCTGGTATGCCCCACGGAGGACCTTAAGGTCCACAAATAACAACACTTTGGAGGTCCCGAGCCTCAAGGAGGTTAGATTGGTCTCAACTAGGGCCAGGGCCTTTTCAGCAGTGGCCCCGACGTGGTGGAACGCTCTGTCACAAGAGACCAGGGCCCTGCGGGACTTGACATCTTTCTGCAGGGCCTGCAAGACAGAGCTGTTCCGCCTGGCCTTTGGTTTGGACTCAGTCTGACCCTTATGTTTCCCTCCCCTTATGGTCTTGATTTATCAGCTATTTTAAAATGAGGCTGCATTTTAAATTGCATTTTAACCTTTATTTTAAATTGGTTCCCCCCTCTCTTTTTCCCCTATTATGTTTTTAATTTTATTGGTGTTAGCCGCCCTGAGCCTGGCTCTGGCCAGGGAGGGCGAGGTATATATAAAATTAACTATGATGATGATGATGATGATGAGTTGCCCAAGGGAGGAGGCTGACAGCGGCAGCCATGGAGAGGCAATGGGATGCTCCCTCACAGCCGCCATCGTCATCACTTTGGACAAACGCCGGCTCTTCCTGCTCCCAGAACTCAGCGCTGGCAGGGGAAATAGGGACCTTCTGGGATCAAATCAGAAGCCGGGGCGGCTTTTGTAATTCCGGGACTGGAAAATCAGGACCCCTGGAGGTCCTATGTATCAGGCGAAGACATCCCTGCCTCCCGTGACCTCACTGCATTTTAAGATGCTAATATGGAGGGCTGGTTCCATACTTATTAGGCCAGCGGCTTGCCAGTAACTAACAGCCCCTGTTGGAGGCAGTATGTCTCTAGGTACCAGTTTCCGCAAATCCCAAGATGGGGATAGCACTGTTGCACTCCTAGAGGGGCCTCCAAAAGCATCTATCTGACCACTGTGAGAATGGGACGTTGGCCTAGATCGGCGTTTCTCAAACTTGGGTCTCCAGCGGTTTTTGGACTACAACTCCCATCATCCCTGGCTAGCAGGGCCAGTGGTTGGGGATGATGGGAACTGTAGTCCGAAAAAACAGTTGGAGACCCAAGTTTGGAACACCCTGGGCTAGGTGGACCTTTGACTTGATCCAGAAGGGCTCTGCTTCATGTCCTAAACTCTCAGGGCTCCAAAGTTGGTAATGGATGGGATAACTTTATCAATGGGCAGTGTCCCAACTCTTGTTCAGCTGAGCCCCACAGTCTGCTGGCTCACAAAGGCGAATATTCGCTGGAAACTCTCGTCCATCAGTGTTGCAGCTCAGACCTGTTTGCTTGAACTTTGGACATGTCATGGGATGTGCCATTTGGCCAGGAGGATTGTGGGAGAAGGTGGGGCTGTGGGTGCAAGAGCGCTGTCTCATATAAAAGCGCGGTGGCTAATTCTGGGACAGGGAAGGCTAACACGGACGGCGGCGGCTGCAGAGAGTGAGTGTGCTTGTCTACTCAGGGGCTTAACTCTGCGGCCACCTCCCTTGTACCTTTGGAAAGACCAGCAGGAGCCAGGTTTGACAAGGGAAAATGGGGGAGAGAAGTTGTCTGCGTGCTTGACTCCTGTACCCATGCAACAGATGAGGAAGTTGAGGCCACACCAGGACCCAACAGGGAGATCCGTCACATTAAGATGTGCTCCTTGGAGACCCAGGGACCAATGCCGGGGGAGGGGGAGTGTTGCAGAATTTAGGAACTGGTGTTATAATTCTCCCACCTTTTTAAAAAAAATGTTGTCTGTTGTCCTCGGATGCCTTGCCCACAGTCCATTTATATTTTTGCATATTTGAGAACAAGGTAGGAAATCAAACAGGCTTTTTGGAATTCTTGTTCTAAGGAGGTCAAGGGCTGACCTCTGATTCCGAAAGGGGAAGAACCGTTGTCCCTAATGGGCTCTGTTTACTTGCATATCTTCTGTGCTTAGTTTTAGGTCTCCCTAACAGCAAAGAAGAAGGAACGCGGCAATTTAAACTGAGAGGTAAGTCTCCATTTCTACTAGCCGCCGTATTTCATAGAATCATAGAACTGTAGAGCTGGAAGGGACTCCCCCCCCCCCGAGGGCCATCTAGTCCAACCCCCTGCAATGCAGGAATCTCACCTAGATCTTGTGGGAGTCTGTTCCACCGGACATGCTCTTGTGGCTTTAACGTGTTTCCACGCCGAAACGTAGCAAGTTTCCCACTAAATATCTAATGCCGGGGAGAGCTTCACCTGCTTAATCCCTGCATCTCGGACAGATGTTAGAGATACGAAAGGCAGAGGCTATTGAAAAGTTTGCAGCCGTTCCTGCAAGGCTGGAGGATCTGTGGCCCATCAGATGATGTGTTGGACTCCAACTCCCATCAGCCCCAGCCAGCATGGCCAGCGGTCAGGTATGATGGGAGTTGTAGTCCAGTCACATGTTCCCCACCTCAGCTTTACTGAACGGCAGCCTTCAGCTTTATACTTCAAAATGTGTACTGTGAATTTATGGTAGCTTCATTAGGCACATAAGAAGATTAATTGGATCAGGTCGAAATGTTCTAGTCCAGCATCCTATTCTTATAGGAGCTATCAAATTGTTGTTTTCATTTCTATACCAGTTTATATATAAAGGTAAAGGTAAAGGGACCCTTGACCATTAGGTCCAGTCATGGCTGACTGTGGGGTTGCGGCACTCATCTCGCTTCACTGGCCGAGGGAGCCGGCGTACAGCTTCCGGGTCATGTGGCCAGCATGACTAAGCCGCTTCTGGCGAACCAGACCAGCGCACGGAAATGCCGTTTACCTTCCCGCCGGAGCGGTACCTATTTATCTACTTGCACTTTGACGTGCTTTCGAACAGCTAGGTTGGCAGGAGCTGGGACCAAACAACGGGAGCTCACCCCGTTGCGGGGATTCAAACCGCCGACCTTCTGATCGGCAAGCCCTAGGCTCTGTGGTTTAACCCACAGCGCCACCCGCGTCCCGTAGTTTATATATATATATTTTTAAAATCTCAAAGCAGTTTACAACCTCCGTTGGAATGTCAAATAAAACAATCCAGAATAGTACGAAAAACTATGGTAGAAATGGATTCTTTTTTAAAAAATAATAGAGGAAATTAAAGGAAGCAGTTGAAAAGAAAAAGATTGACAAAGGTAACCACAGAAGGGCAGAGGGAAGTCGAAGCATTCAGGGACTCCTAAATGAGGGTGTTGATGATTAACGTTTGAATTTAAATTTGTAATGTAAAATTCAATAAAAATATATATTTTTAAAAAAACCAATCCAGAATAAAGCATTGCAAAAGAAAATCAAATATAAAGTATACATTCAAGGCGATGCAAATTAACAAGAAAGCTAAAATGCCATCTGAAAGATTTCAAAATAAGACATTGCAAAGGAGGTCACTGCAGAATGCACATTACCCTGCAAGCAGGACCAGAATGGAACAGCAGCTGTCCCCACTTGTCAATCAATCAATCAATCAATCAATCCTGCCTCCAACAGGGTAGAAAAAAGCCAGTTGTGGCTAGTGGTAGCCATTGATAGCCTTTGACCTGGCAATGATTTCCAGATGTCTCCCAACTGTGTCGTTCTATTGCCAGAGTTGTTTGCCTTGCATCAACGAAAGCAAAATGTGTTTTTTGTGTGTGATGAATCTGCTCATTTGGCTGAATTCAACTTAAAAATAAAACCCCCGAACACTGCAACCCTCCCTCCTAGCACAGAAGGTGAGAAAGGACTGCGTTTTATCTGGCAATGATTTATTTGTGAGATTCAAAATGTTTCAGCAAACACATATCATGGCCGTTGGGTCGGCAACTCCAGGGACTCCGCAGTAAGTGGATAGGGATGAATAAGATATCGACTGCCATCTTGTGCCCTCTGCCCTTCACCCAAGACCACCACCCCTTTATCATCACAACGACCCTGTGAGGTGGGCTACACTGAGAAACAGTGATTGGCCCCAGGTCTTTCTGCGAACTTCACAGCAGAGTATTTGAAATGTATCTCCACAGTCTAGGTCCAGCTCTGGCTCTTTAAAAACAAAAAGTATAATAAAGATAATAGAATCATAGAATTGTAGAGTTGGAAGGGACCACGAGGGTCATCTAGTCCAACCCCCGCGATGTAGGATTCTTTTGCCCAACATGGGGCTCGAACCCATGACCCAGAGATCAAGAGCCTCGCGCTTAACCGACTGAGCTGCATGGGGGGGGGATTTGTTTTGGCTGGGAAACAGCAGGACCCGCTATATCCCACGAGGGGCTCAGCTTTGCCTGTTTCCTAACCCGGTTTACTTAAGCGAATGTTTGTGTTTCGACATCCTAGGCGGCGGTTGTGAAAATGGATCTGAAACTTGTGGCCGTGTCGATCCTGTTAGTGCTTTTCTGCTCAGGCAAGTTTCCTCCGATTGCTGATTTGAGAAGGCGTGTCTGTATATGGATATCTGTATGCGCCGTACATTGAAAGCGAGCGCACCCAAATCGCTGGGATTTGTAGTTTGTTAAGGCTGCTGGGAACTGTAGCTCTGTGAGGGGTGAATCATAAGAACATAAAAAGTGACCAGTGGCCCATCCTAGACCAGCAACCTGTTCTCACAGCGGCCATCGAGATGCCAAACACACAACCAAGACCTGAACACAAGAGCATTTCTCCTCCTATGGCTCCAGCAGAGGCACGGCCATTTTGGCCAGTAGCCACTGATAGCCTCTCACCTCCATGAATTGGTCCAATCCTCATTTAAAGCCTCCAGGTGGGCAGCCACCACTGCTTCCTGTGGCAGAGAGTTTAAAGATGTGCTGTTCCCAGGATGCTTTGGGGTGGCAGCAAAAAAGCGTGCGTTAAATGTTTATGGTGTGTACAGCAGTTGACGGCTGTGCTTCGGTCTCCGATAAAGTGGAAATCACGAGTGGTTTTATGTTCCGATGTGCAGTGTAAAAGGCAGGTATGATCAGGCGAAAGGGCCCTTGAACAGGGCACATCCCAAATGGTTGCAATGAATCCGAAAGTTCCCTGTGCTTTTTACCGTTTGTGTGCATCTAAACCCCACTAAGCTGATAAAATGCAAGTCAGCATGCAGAAGACGGAGATTTATGTGAGAGGTGGAATGTCACTGCTTCAACCTTTTGGTTCTCTTTGAAAGATAAGTTGCACTTCCGAATTTTTTGCACAGTTAAGGTAGGGTTGCCATATTTCAAAAAGCCATATTTTCGATTCACTTGTCTAAGATCCTGGAAAATCCGGACATATGGCAACCCTAATTAAAGGTACAGGAACCCCATCCTTAATTGCAGGAGGTCACCTGTTGAATTGCTGCCTGGGGGGAGGAGTTGGTGGCAACAGTACTATCATATATTCTGATGTGGCAGCTTTAATCAGAATCTGTCCATGAGAACTTTTTGTTCGGAAAACATTAACATTTTTCAGTGTGAGACGCGCCTTTTGGCATTCATGGCATGCTGAACTGAGACACGTGGAAGTGAAAACGTGTGTTTTAACCTTTTGGTAAGGCTATAATTTGCCACTAGTCCTCATGGAAAGACTATACAGTGGTACCGCGGGTTGCATACACTTCAGGTTACATACGCTTCAGGTTACAGACTCCGCTAACCCAGAAATAGTGCTTCAGGTTAAGAACTTTGCTTCAGGTTGAGAACAGAAATCGTGCTCCAGCGGCGCAGCAGCAGCAGGAGGCCCCATTAGCTAAAGTGGTGCTTCAGGTTAAGAACAGTTTCAGGTTAAGAACAGGCCTCTGGAACGAATTAAGTACTTAACCCGAGGTACCACTGTATATTGCTGACGATCTAAATGTAAAAAGCTTGCACCTCATTTACACTCCTACTTCTTGTAAGCAGAACCAACGCTACCAATAGGCAGACTGAGGCAACTGTCTCAGGCTGCAGATGCTATGGTGATGGGGGGGACGGACAATGATGGCAGTTCTTTGGCTGTTCCTCCAGAGCCCCATGTCATTCCTCCCTGTTGAGGGATAAGGGCCCGTCCATAAAGGTAAAGGTATTAGGTCCAGTCGGGACCGACTCTGGGGTTGCGGTGCTCATCTCGCTTGATTGGCCGAGGGAGCCGGCGTACAGCTTCCGGGTCATGTGGCCAGCATGACTAAGCCGCTTCTGGCGATCCAGAGCATCACACGGAAATGCCGTTTACCTTCCCGCCGGAGCAGTGCCTATTTATCTACTTGCTTTCGAACTGATAGGTTGGCAGGAGCAGAGACTGAGCAATGGGAGCTCACCCCGTCACGGGGATTCGAACCACCGGCCTTCTGATCAGCAAGTCCTAGGCTCTGTGGTTTAACCCACAGCGCCACCTGCGTCCCTAGGGGCCCGTCCATACTTTGACTTAATGTGGATTACAAATTCCTTGCATCTCCTTTAATTCCTTCCCCCTTCTCAGGGCCGTCTTAAGCATATCCAGTGCCGTGGTTCAAAGCTCCCTCCAGTGCCGCCACCCCCTATTTCCCAGAGTTTTTTTAGGTAGGATGGCGCTGCCAGTGGGGCTGGAGGAGGCGGGCAGCAGCTGGAGGGCGGCTCCTCCACCGGGGAAGAGGCGGAGACTGAACGCAGCGCCTTCTGGCTGAGCTGGCCACTTCGTGCTGTGGTGGCCACAGCAGACGGAGGCTCCGGGCGCGGCGCTGCTTCGCCACGGCATGGCGGAGGCGGGCGAGGGCGGCAAGCTGATGCCGCGTCCAGCCTTCGCCTCTTCCCTGGCACCCTCCAGAACTTGGCGCCCTGCACTACTAGCCTCTATGGGTAAGACGCCCCTGCCCCTTCTCCACGTCACCCTTCTCCTCCTTAAATCTGGAGATTCCTTTGGCTTTGAAAATCCAGGGAACTACACCGATTGCATAGGGAATCTCCAGATTTACGGAAGAGAGGGCAGCAGCAGTTGGAGGCGAACGCCACAGTGGAATAACCACTCTCCCATCAAAACTGGAAAGTGCCGTTTGTGTGGCCGCACACGGCACCCCGATCCCTGAGACAACGGCAGAAGTTCCTGGTCCGCCTCCCCATGTCACAGCCCTTTGGGGTTCCCGCCAAGCCTCAGTTCGAACGAACCTATCTGTGGCAGGGGGGGCGGAGCTATTTGTGTAGTTGAAAGGGGCGGAGCCTACCTGAGAGCGCACAGTCAGCTCCAGAGCTCCCCCCCTCCCTGCTGTTAAGGGACTGGGAAGGAATTTATCTGCATTGGCAGATTTCGCCTTCCCCGTAGCAGATGTCACAACTAAATTGGGGGGGGGCAGTGCTGGATTTACGTATAAACTAAACAAGCTATTGCTTAGGGTCCCACTCTCTTTTGGGGTCCCCCAAAAAAATTAAAGGGGAAAAAACAACTGTGTGTACATTTCCAAAATGTAAGATAAAAAAAAACCAATTAAAATAAAACCTACATACAGCAACACTGTATATAGGGTGCCTACATTCTGCATGGACTGATGGCAACATGTGCAAATGGCTTGAGATACCTATTAGGTCCATAAATTACCATATAGCATCTATTCAACACAAAAAACAGCGGCAATTTGTTGTTGACAAAGGACAGCTGGACATATAAAGGGCCCCATTACCTTCGGTAGCTTAGGGCCTCATCAAACCTAAATACGGCCCCGGAGGCGGGGGCGTGAAGTGGTGATGCATACCCTACCCCCCACAGCAGCAATCCCAGGGTTCCCCGTTAAAGGGGCTGAGTCGGAGGGGAGTCACTGGCCATACGCTGAAAGGTTGTCAGTGGACTCCCCATCATTGGTGTGAAATGGTGTCTTCCAGAGCCAATCCAGACAGACCTGATTACCCTGATGTGCCTCAGATCAGGGAGCCAGCATGGTGCAGTGGTTAAGAGCGGTAGTCTCGTAATCTGGTGAACCGGGTTCGCTTCCCCGCTCCTCCACATGCAGCTGCTGGGTGACCTTGGGCTAGTCACACTTCTCTGAAGTCTCTTCAGCCTCACTCACCTCACAGAGTGTTTGTTGTAGGGGAGGAAGGGAAAGGAGATTGTTAGCCACTTTGAGACTCCTTAAGGGGAGTGAAAGGTGGGATATCAAGTCCAAACTCTTCTTCTTCTTCTTCAGATCCCCAGCTGGGGACTGGGAGAGATACGCGCCCAATGCCTAAGCCAAGGTCTTCCTACATCTGAAAGTTTAAATAAAGTTTTGGCCAATTTAATCCCATAACATGCTGTCACGAGTCATTCATTTCTTCCGGGTGGCCCTTGGGGTCGGTGTGTGTGTGTGTGTCTCTGCCTGGGCACACAATTAAAAGAGACATGACGAGTTCACAATCCACATTAAGCCGAGGTATTTCTGACAGGGGACCCCCTAAATTAGCGTATTGCCCTCAGGTGTGCGGGGAGATGTTATCCGCATGCCGGCTTTAAAGTAAGATTTCACAGCCAGCCTAGTCACCCTCTGTATACAGAATGGTGGGGGCGCAATCTTGTCTTCCGCCTCAGGCGGCAAAATGCCATGGACTGGCCCTGGTCATAAGGAAAGGCCCAAACCGAACAAACTGTGGTTTCATTTCCCTTAATGAATTTACATCTCTCTTTGAACAGGAAGCTCCCAGGAGCTTACAATAACTTCAAAACAAAAGTCACCATTTCAATCACCCGAGAAACGCAAACAATAAATAAAGCAATTCATCCCCCAAATCTTAACAGTTTACCTTTTTTTCTTTTCTGTTCACCTTTCTTTTGCAGAAGTCTCCAGCTATCGCTTGCAGAAACGAGAAGCCGAGGAGCCGGAACTGTTCGCTCAAGTTAAGGAGAAAGTCACAGGGGCCTGGGAACAAGTTTCCAGCACAGCCCAGGGCTGGCTAGCGAAAATCCAAAATCTGGAAGTCACAAAGCCAATAATGTGAGAATAAGGCAGGGGACAACCAGGAGGTGGACGGAGGGAGGTTTTCCAATAATTTCGGGTTGTAGCCAGTGTTACTCATACTCAGAAATTGAAATTGATGGACATGACTAACTCAGATCTATTAATTCCAGTGGGTCCACTCCGAGTTCAAAATCTGTATTTGCAGAACTATGATAGCACTTTAAACTGTCATGGCTTCCCCCAGAGAATCCTGGGAACTCTCATTTGTTAAGGGTGCTTAGAGTGTTAGGAGGCCCGCTATTCCCCTTCCAGAGCTACAATTCACAGAGTGGTTTCGCAAGCCAATCCCTCTTCCTAGGGAACTCTGTAAATTATGGATCTGTTGGGGGAATGGGGGCGGGGTCTCTTATCAACACCCAGCACCTTTAACAAACTACATCTCCCAGAATTCTTTGGAAAAGGGGACCCCGTGAGTGTTTCAAGCGGCGCCACAATGCTTTAAATATATACGGTGTGGATGTGGCCACTGACTATACATCTTCAACCCTTCTTTCCTTTATCCTTTCCAGAAACATGTACGAAAACAGCGTGTCAAGGATTAAGACCTACACGGACATACTCTCCGACCAAGTTTACCACCTGCTGCAAAGTGAGAGTTAATGTCGCCCACCTTTCTCCCTTCTGCAGAGACTAGTCGCTGAGGCTCAGGGAAGCCTTCGTTTTTTTCATACATTTTGCTTGTAAAGATGCTCCCATGCTTAGGAAATGAATAAAGCTCCTTTCCTGCTGAAGTGCTGATCTGTGAGTTGCATTCTTTCTTTGGGAGGGAGGAAAGTGTTGACATTTCAACCGATGAGCTACAAAATAAGGAGAGGCATTTCAGGGTGTGTGTTTTTCTCAGCTCATTTTTCTCCAGTCGCTAGCTGGGTTCTCCACATTTCCACATCAGTTTACATTCTATTTATTTATGTTAAAAGGTCGTCGTGGAAATTCACCTGCTCCTTGCTGTGAATGTATCCCAACAGACACATTCTTGAATTCAATTTTGTGTTTTGATTGGGAACCTTAGGGTGGTGGGCACGCAATAGATCGCAACGACAAAACAATAATTACACCTTTTGCAAAGCCATTTTGGCGTTCGTTATTTTCCACCACCGCATGCATTTTTATTTTATTTTTTGCAAACATTAGCATATGCAACCTTGTACACATTACCTGGCTCGAGGACTCGCTCGCAAAATTCGGGAAAGTGTGCGAGGGACGGTTGCGATTTGATTCGCGCAATGCTTCGGAAAGCACAAATTAGGTAAGTTCTCTTTCAAATGCAAGCTGACTTTAATTTCTGCCACCCACCAACTTCCCCTACCTGCCACTCATTCTATCACCTTAAGAACTTTGGGGGAGATATCGCGAGGTTAGAGGGAGCTAGAATTCCCAGCATTCTGACTATGCATTTCAACAGGGACAAATGTAAGTTTCTATATTTGAAATAATCAGATGCACAAATATAGGATTGGGGGGGGGGGAGAGACACACATGTGCATGTGAAAGGAATCCAGGGGTCTTCATAGACCACAAGCTGAACATGAGTCAACAGAATGATGCAGCAGCAGAAAAGGCAAATGCTATTCTAGGCTGCAGTCTAGTGTCTGGATAAAGGGAAGGACTATTCCCGCTCTATTCTGCCTTGGTCAAACCACACCTGGAGTCCTGTGTCCAGTTGTGGGCACCACTATTTAAAGAGGATACAGCGGTGCCTCGCAAGACGAAATTAATTCATTCCGCAAGTTTTTTCGTCTAGCGAATTTTTCGTCTTGCAAAGCACGGTGTCGGAAAAGTTTTGGAAAAGCTTCAAAAATCACCAAAAACCTCAAAAAAGGCTACCACACGGCGTTCTATGAGTTGCTCCTTGAAGTCAAGTCGCAACTCTATTAACGGTGTTAAGAAAAAGGAAACAAACTTGCAAAAAACGCAAGACGTTTTCGTCTTGTGAAGCAAGCCCATAGGGAAATTCGTCTTGCGAAGCAGCTCAAAAACCGCAAAACCCTTTCGTCTAGCGAGTTTTTCGTCTTGCGAGGCATTCGTCTTTCGGGGCACCACTGTATGCCCAAGCTGCAACGTGTGCAAAGGAGGGTGACCAAGATGATAAAGGCTTTTGGAAACAAAGCCATATGAGGAACGGTTGAGGGAGTTGGGTGTGTTTAGCGTGGAGAAGAGGAGAATGACAGGAGGTATCAAAGCCATCTTCAAATATCTCAAGGGCTGGCACATTGAGGATGGAGCATGCATGTTTTCTGCAGCTCCCAAAGTTAGGACCCGAAGCAATGGCTTCAAGTTTACAAGAAAGGAGATTCCGACTAAGCATATGGAAGAACTTTCTGGTGGCAGTGGAACAGACTCCCACGAGTAGTGGTGGACTTTCCTTCACTGGAGGTTTTTAAGCAGAGCTTAGAGGGCCATCTGTCACAGATATTTAGTTGTGGTTCCTGGGGGGACCTTCCCAGATCCTGACACTGAGTTAAACCACAGTAGGTATGTTTGCATCTTCACCGATGAGGCTTCCATTGCTTCAGTTGAACATTTTCTGCTGCCTAGCGCCACCTCCAGGGCTTGGAGAAAATTGCACAAGCGAAATAATAAATGGTTAAAAACCTAAGAATTTGGAGAGCGTGGTGTCTTGGTTTTGCCATTGTGGAGAGCTTTGAAACATCCTACAATGGTCCAGTAGCATGGCATACACTAATACATGTGCCTTTCTGTTTAATCTCCACCCTGTTTGCTTAGGAGACAAATTTGCAGTGGTGTAGTACAAGGAAACAGAACTCTGGAACTATTTTCACAACAAGAGTGAGGATATGTTCCAGCGTACTGGGGTAATGGACAGACCCTCCTTGTCCTGGAAAACATATGAGATGACCTTTTAGCTTTCAAGCTTGTTTGTGATAAATTATCACAGAAAAAAAGCCATTCTGGGAAATAATCCAGGAGAGGCTGGGTACGTCGTCCCTTTCCTTTGACTGTTTCAGGATAGCAATTTAGATGGTGGATGTTTCTTTGCAGGATTGTTTAATTAATAGCCAAAGCCGCTGCGTTCCAGCTGGCTGAAGATAATTTGTTAAAGCCCAGTGTGTTTTGCTAGTTGAACTTATATCGTCGGAGAAGTAAGCCTCACTGTGTTTCATGGAGTTTACTCCCAGGTAACTGCATGTGCAGCTGCAGTCATGCCACAGGCAATAATAATACCTGATGTGTTGCCTTGAAGTCTAGCTAGGAACAGGTTTGATGGTTATAGGGTGGGAGGGAGGAGCAGGATCCAGGCTGGCTAAATCCTGAGCTCCTCCATAGGCCACGCTGACAGACGGGTGGAGTTGCCCTCTTGTCAACCACCAGGTGACACCCTGAAAAATATATGAAGATTCCTGTCAGGCCTAATTTGGCCCAGGAGCTGGAGGTTCCCCGTAATCTGTTCTGAAGATTTCACGACAAGTTCCTGCCCCTCAAAATTTACTCCCACGCCACTACCAATTATGAACAAACTGCTAGTCTCTGGTGTCAGCGCTGCTTAAAATGTTTTTTTTATTAAGGCTTGACCTCAGGTCACTCAGCACTGCAAATAATAAGACCATCATCTGGTGCATCCAAGACTTCTTTAATTCTTTTTCTTTTTAAAGCAAATATATTTATAAACAATTATTTTTTAAAAAATGAGGGATGCAGGTGGCGCTGTGGGTTAAACCACAGAGCCTAGGACTTGCCAATCAGAAGGTCGGCGGTTCGAATCCCCGCGACGGGGTGACCCATTGCTCAGTCCCTGCTCCTGCCAACCTAGCAGTTTGAAAGCACCTCAAAGTGCAAGTAGATAAATAGGTACCACTCCGGTGGGAAGGTAAACGGCGTTTCCGTGCGCTGCTCTGGTTCGCCAGAAGCGGCTTAGTCATGCTGGCCACATGACCCGGAAGCTGTACGCCGGCTCCCTCAGCCAATAAAGCGAGATGAGTGCCGCAACCCCAGAGTCGGCCACGACTGGACCTAATGGTCAGGGGTCCCTTTACCTTTACCTTCTATTTTTTAAAAAAACAAAAAAGATAAAGCAGATTGCAACAGATTTACACAAACCTCCACAATTAAAAAAAACACAACATACACCAAGTTAAAACCAGAACTGTTGTGGAAAAGATGCCTTCTTTATTGACTGCATAGGCCTGAAAGAATAGATTTTTTCCCCCAGGAAATGGAAGTTACCTGCTTTCTCTATCGCCAGAGAATTTCACAACAGTGAGCAAATGACAATAAAGGCTCCTTTTTTTTCTTTTTTGGTCAAATGAGCCTTTCCAGCTCAGGGAACAACCAGTCTCACTCCTGCAGATGATCTCAAGGACTGAGCTGAGATACAAAAGCTTCACCTTGTCCTTGAGGCAACCAGGACCTAAGGCCACATGCACCCCTTATCTTTAAAATATGACATCTCCTTAAGCAGTCGTTGCTTCCTTCAAGGAATTCTGGGGGCTGTAGTTTGTTAGGGATGCTGGGCGTTGTTGGGGGGGCGCTATTCCCCCTTACAGAGCTACAATTCCCAGAATGGTTTAACAGTCAATCCCTCTTCACAGGGAACTTGTGGACAGGGATGCTGAGTGTGGGTGAGTGGGACCACCTCATAAGAACATGAGAACAGATGAAGATCGCTCCTGTTGTTGTTGCTGTTTAGTCGTTTAGTCGTGTCCGACTCCTCTTGACCCTATGGACCAGAGCACGCCAGGCACTCCGGTCTTCCACTGCCTCCCGCAGCTTGGTCAAACTCATGCTGGTAGCTTCGAGAACATTATCCAACCATCTCATCCTCTGTCGTCCCCTTCTCCTTGTGCCCTCCATCTTTCCCAACATCAGGGTCTTTTCCAGGGAGTCTTCTCTTCTCATGAGGTGGCCAAAGTATTGGAGCCTTTTTGAGAAATTCAAGGTAATTGTGGTTAGTTTAAACCAGCTTTCAAACATGGCATGTGTGTGTGAGATTGCCGTTGGGATATCTTACAGCTTGCGGCCAAATACTATTTGTTCCCTGACCCCCTCGGAAATTCGCCCCTGCTCTGAGGGTACATATTTTTCCCAGACAGGTGCCTTTGAAGTGTGTTTAACTTGGCAAGGTGCAGAAACTTCACCTGCCAAGCCCAGACCGTCATCTGCTGGCAAACAAGCTTGTCCTTGTGTTTCTGCGCCAGGGTCGCCAGTCAAGCTGTCCTTCGGTGAAATTAGCAACCCATTAAGCGCTAGTAATTTAATTGCGGTCAGAGTAAACTTGACCCTTTCCATTTCTTTGGCACGGGGACAAAAACCTGTACTTATTAAAAGTCATGGCAGGACAGTCCAACCTTCGGGGGGAAGTGAGGTGTCTTGCCTGAGTGAGGCTCATTGATCGTGGAGCAACATTCAAGGCCGGCAGCTGACTGTGAATAGCTTTGTTTGCTCACATCGGCCAGCCTGTTCACCATCACAATCGGAGTGAAGTGTTGTGTGGGGCAGGAAAGATGACGTGGACACCCAGAGCAGGCGAAAACAAGTTTGCTCCATCTCCCAGGTGACAGATGAGTCCATCCATAGATGCCAGCTCCCTGGGGCTCTAGGTGCCCGAGCACCCACAAAATTCCCCACGAAGGGGCCGGGCACCCACAGATTGCGGCGCAAAGGCCACAGTTGCAGGGCCAAGCTGCTATGCCTGAGTCCATCAACATCTGGAGGGCCACAGTTTCCCAGCCCTCTTTCATGGGTTACTAGGTCCACATGGCTGAAGTGAGGGAGG